GTACCATTGGACAACATAGTCCTGGTCGATATTGTACTAATTAATTTATGATATTTACCAAATTTTATTTTTTAAAAATATAAGATTTACACATATTATGAGGGGTTAAAAAAAATATTTTAAAATGATTTTTTATTAGTATGAATTTTTATTTTAAAATATTTTATAGCAATCCAAACACTCCATTAGCCTCCCATAAAAAACTGATAAAAGAAAAGCCATTTCATTAAGAAAATTAAAATTAATTAAAGTAAATCAAATCAGGCTATATTTATTTGTAACTGTATATTCATTTCATTTTGAAATCATTGGTTCATATATATGAATTTTTTTTTAATTATTATAATTTATAAATAGAAATGATATTCTACTAATTAATTTATAATATTTATCAAATTGTAATTTTAAAAAATATAAGATTTACACATGTTATTGGGGGGAAGGGGAGAGGGGTAAAAAAATATTTTAATTTTTTTTAATAGTAAGTATTCAAAAAATAATAATAATTTCCAGCAACTCAAACACTCCATTAGTCTCTCACAAAAAACTGATAAAGAAAAGTCATATCATTAAGGGAATTAAAACTAATTAAAGTAAATCTAATCATGCTATATTTATTTGTAATTGTATATTAATTTCATTTTGAAATCATTGGTTCATATATTTGAAATTATTTATTTTTTTCTTTAATTGTTATAAATATAAATGATATTGTACTAATTAATTTATGATATTTATGAAATTGTATTTTTTTTAAATGTAGTGTTTTACCCGTGTGTTGCACGATTTTTTTTTTTTTTTTTTTTGCTTTTTTGTTTTTATGAATTTAAAATTAAAATAAAAAATAAAAAAATGTTAAAATGTACAATATAATAATATAGTTGGACTTTTATATATTTGGTCAAGTATCTATTTTCACAACATACAAAATTTAAATTTAAATTTTGTATGGTTAATATAATCTCTAATCATGTACATATTTAGATAAATTTATAGAAAAATTCATATAATTAAGTTGATTTATTCCAAATTGTATTATATATATATTATTAATTCTAAAAATATGAATAATAATAACTAAGAGAATTGTACTTAGAAATCAATAAAAATGTAAATTTTAAAATGTAAATTCTATATTGATAAGCATAATCTGTGTATATACTTTAAGAAAATATTCATTATTAAAAAGGAAATATAATTTAAAAAGTAAATTATTAATTAGATTACCTAATATAATTGTCCTACGAATTAATTCCATGCTACTATGTATAATAATTCATATATTTATTCATTATGAGTAATATTCATTTCCTTTTTTCACTCATAGAAAGAGTTAATATTCATTTTCATTTCTTTTTCCTTCATAATTTTTTCCTAATATTTCATGTGGTGGTTACTAATTTTTTCGTAGGGAAAGCGGTGTTATATTTTCAATAAATTTTTAATATTAAATCTTTTTTTCATTTGGCCTGATTCCTGTGTCTATTAGTAACAAAATATTAATAATAGATTCTCGTGTGCAAAATTCATTTTTTTCTGTTCTTATTCATTTCTTTTTTCCTTCATAAATAATTAATATAATTATAATAATATAATTACTGATTATATTTTAAGTGAAATATGGATATATTCATTTCCCTTTTCATTCATAGAAAGAGTTAATATTTGTTTCAATTTCTTTTTCCTTCATAATTTTTTCCTAATATTTCATTTGGTGGTTACTAATTTTTTTTTTAGGGAAAATTGTGTTATATTTCCAATAAATTTTTAATATTAAATCCTTTTTTCATTTGGCATGATTCCCATGCCTATTAGTAACATAATATTAATAATAGATTTTCGTGTGTAAAATTCATTCCTATTTCTAGTTTCTAGTCATAAAAACAATATGGTATATTTGTAATATTCATTTTCAATCACAAAAACAATTTGGTACGTGTTTAATAATCATTTCCTTTTTCCTTTACCCTAATTTTCTGTGTAGCAAATTAGTTATTTACTTATTAAGCACATATTTTTTTTTTTTTAATTCGAGTCCATTTTTAATATTAATTTCTTTTTTCTTTTGGTATGATTTCTGTGCCAAAAGCTGTGTTATATTTTTAGTGAAATATAAACATATTCATTCGTTTTTCTTCATATTTCATTTCCTTTTAAATATATATATATTTCTTTTTTTTTCCTTCATAAAAAGAAGTAATATTGATTTTTATTCATTTTTCTAATAATTGTCGATTAATTGGCCTGATTTCCATGTCAATTAGTAACATGATATTAATAACAGATTTCTTTGTGAAATATTCATTTCCTTTCTCGTTCATAAAAATAATTAATATTCATTTCCACGTAATTAAAATGTAATATAATTATAAAAAATATAATTACTGATTATATTTCCAGTAAACTATTAATATATTCATTTCATTTTTCCTTCATAAATAATTAATATAATTATAATAATTATAATCATATAATTACTGATTATATTTTAAGTGAAATATGAATATATTCATTTCCTTTTTCACTCATAGAAAGAGTTAATATTCATTTTCATTTCTTTTTCCCTCATAACTTTTTCTAATATTTCACGTGGTGGTTACTAATTTTTTCGTAGGGAAAGCGGTGTTATATTTTCAATAAATTTTTAATATTAAATTTTTTTTTTCATTTGGCGTAATTCCTGTGTCTATTAGTATAACAAAATATTAATAATAGATTTTCGTGTCTAAATTTTATTTTTTTCCTTTCATATTCATTTCCTTTTTTCTTCATAAATAATTAGTATAATTATAATAATATAATTACTAATTATATTTTAAGTGAAATATGGATATATTCATTTCCTTTTTTCATTCATAGAAAGAGTTAATATTTGTTTTCATTTCTTTTTTTCTTCATAATTTTTTCCTAATATTTCATTTGGTGGTTACTAATTTTTTTCGTTGGGAAAACTGTGTTATATTTTCAATAAATTTTTAATATTAAATCCTTTTTTCATTTGGCATGATTCCCATGCCTATTAGTATAACAGAATATTAATAATAGATTCTCGTGTGTAAAATTCATTTTTATTTCTGGTCATAAAAACAATCTGGTACGTTTGTAATATTCATTTTCAATCATAAAAACAATCTGGTACAATGTTTAATAATCATTTTCTTTTTCCTTTACCCTAATTTTCTGTCTAGCAAATTAGTTACTTACTTATTAAACATATTTTTTTAATTCGAGTCCATTTTTAATATTAATTTCGTTTTTCTTTTAGTGATTTCTGTGTCAATTAGTAACAGAATATTAATAACAAATTTTATTATTACAATTAATTCTTTAGTTTTTTTTTTGAATTAGAATAATGATAATTGTAATTATATTAATTAATTAATTGTATGGATATTTTTTTGCAATGAGATACAGATCCACCAATGTACCCAGATGTGTTCTCCTGCCTCAAAGCCTAATGAATCATACACATGTTGCATCTTAAATGCACGTAGATATAGACATTCAATTTTTATTTTATTTTATTTTATTTTTTGAGAATGCTAATCGATTCACTGATAGTTGAAGGTAGATAACAATACTTATAATATGAAATTAAACCTTTTGGAAGAATAATATGAAATTAAACTCAAATCCAAGTTACTTTACATCTATTAATCCCTAATTGAGATTATATAAAAACGAAACATAGATTTAAATGATTTCATCTAAGAGCTTGTAAATATGGTGACTGCTTTAGTGTTTTTAGAGAGACAACGTGCTTTACCAATTCGCCAGGAAGAACCAATCTCATGCCAGCCTGGATCTCGCGGGAAGTGATTATCGGCTTCTTGTTGTAGTGGGCCAAGCGAGTCACCTCTCGGGCGAGCTTCAAGAAGATATCGTTGATGAAGCTATTCATGATGTCCAAACTGCAAAACATATTGGAGTACGTGAGAATATAGTTAGAAAAATGTAGAAAATTCATACAAAAAGAAAGCAGAAAGATGAGTCTGAGATTCTTTGATTGAAGAAGCTCTTGTATTTATAGGTAGAAAATACTAATTCAAAAGGAAAGTATAATAGTTTATTTATTTAAGGGAAAGTATAATAATTTATTTATTTAAGGTAATAACATTATTATTATTATTATTATTATTATTATTATTATTATTATTATTATTATTATTATTATTATTTATTTATTTAATTTCCATTTGACATTTACTTACCAAATAAGTTTTACTACAAAAATTTTGGGGGGAAAATTTGTTAGGAGGATTTTACTTTTATATATATATATATATATAGAATATAGATAGATAGATTATGAATTTCTAAAGAAATATTTTTTTTATGTTTATTAATAATATATATATAAGTAATTAGCATATAAGTCCCAACATACTATGGATAAAAATAATAATGTTGAGAATGTTGATGTGAGTGAAGAATTATATAATAAGAAAATTATATATAAATAATAAGAATCAAAATTATTAAAAGTTTGTAAGGATGTATTCAATTTAAAATTTCAATGACGTTTGTAAACTTTTTATTGAAAGTCAATCAAAATTTATTAAAATCTACCATTTTAAAAGTCTTTAAAACTCTATAAAAGTCATAATTGAATACACCCCCTTTAATAATTGAATTTGTTCTAATATTAAGATAATAAGATACTCAAATTTGACTCAATTCATTAATTAAGCTCAAACTTTACTTGACAGTAATCTAATAAAATTTGAATATTTTTCAAGCCGAACTTGACTCACTTACAATCTTACACCTTTAGTTAGGACGGTAACCAAGTCGAGTTAAGCTTGAATAGTCCTAAGCTCAAAGCTCGGTTGAATAAAAAACCGAAGCTCAAGATCAACTCATCGACTTGAATTTGGTCAATTAATATGTCCTTTTTTTTTTCAAAAATTTGTAATAATAGGTATCGTAGAATAAAATATCATAACAAAGTTGAACAAAAGTATGCAACTAACACAAAGCACCCCCAACCCAAATAAAAGTTGCAACATAAATCCTCATGATTTCAACATGGCTCAAGCACCATACTCCATAATAATTTAGAAACATCAAATAATTCAAATAATGCTTGATGACTAATCAATATCTTCCTACCTTTCTGGTTCACACCGTTGCTGTGTTTCAAGCCAGTTTTTTTAGTCGTACTTAGTAGCTTCCAGAAAAGCAACTTTTAGCCCATAAGATATATCATAATAAAGTGATACATTTTAAAATAATCATCAAATGAAACTGCAGCAGCTAGGAGGAGGTTATTGCACAATCTCATGTAATTCAGAGATGCTTCAAAATTTATATCTCCATCTCCATCTCCAAATTAAATCAATACAAAAATCATGTTGCTACTTGGGAACCACAAGCAATCATTCTTGATTTTCTTGATTCTGAGAGTCGTTAGGTGACTCCTTATCAATCTTCTGAAATTGGAGGAAATAATATATTAGACGCATTTCAAACATCTGAAACTGTCAACATAGTAACTCACAGCAGAAGGGGCAATACTGTCAAAATTGCATGGGCATAATTGATAGAGAGATTTAAAATCCATACAAAGTTGCATGACATTCAGGGAAAATTTGTCAATTTGCCAGATATTTGGGTGGTATTGTATCCCTTTGCAAATATAGTCCAATTCCCCCACCCCCCATGCAAAACACAAGTTTTAAAGTTTACAGTGTAAAAGACAAGAAGCCCATTCAGAGTAAAGAACCATTGACTCAGTCAAAACATGCAAATTATTACGTAGTAACTAGAAGGGTCATTGGAGTTTGTGCAAAGGCCTTACAAAGAACTACGAGCTGACGATGAATTAATGATTTTGTATCCAAACTAGTCAACTGGTCATGTGCAAGTACATTGAAAGAGCTGGTCATTACACTGGTTAGTAAGAGGGGAGTGATGTTATTGAAGGCTGGGAGAAAAGCAGATGGATTGCAAATTAGCAATTCCACTGTTCTTATCCCTCCAAACTTATTAACAAAAAAGAATCCTGTTTGGTAAAATAGTTAGCCTATCAGCCAATTTTGGCTTATTTGACCACTATTAGTTGTTTGACTTGGTTAAACAATCAATATGAGTGTTTGATTAATTAGCATTTTTGTAACAACTTATTGCTTTAAAATGCTAAAATTAAAAAAGCTACTCGCGATCAACTTTTTGAGAAAGTCATTTTGTATGTAATCAGCTAACAGCTAATGCTATCAACTAGTCAAACCACTAACCCAATCAGCTAACAGCCATTTACCAAACACCCCCTTCTTTTCATACCAAATAGCATCAAAGGTAGGAGAATAATGTAATCTTTGAGAAACTGCTGGCAGGTAATAACACAAAAATGAACATTAAAAAGACTTCGAGTAGAAAGTTGCACAATAATGTACGTAAAGACAAACAATTAATCAAAATTCAATGAGGATAAAATACGCCAAAGAATTGGGTCGTGGAATAAAAGGCTATTGTCTCAGGCAGGGAAAGAAATACTGTTGAAAAGTGTGGCACAATCTATGCCTACCTTCTCAATGAGTGTTTTTTTGCTACCTATATCAGTATGCACGGCTATAGAAAGAACGATGAATAGATATTGGTGGGGTTCTGGGACGGACAACCGAGTTCACTGGAAGGCTTGGGACAAGCTATGTGTTCCTAAGAAGTATGGTGGATTGGGTTTTAAGGACCTACGTGCATTTAATCTAGCTATGTTGGGGAAACAGGCATGGCGAATGCTCACTAAGCCTGATTCCTTAGTAGCTCGTGTTTACAAAAGCCGATATTTTCCCAGGGATACTTTCTTTGATGCGCAGGTAGGAAATAATCCCAGTTTTTGTTGGCGGAGTATAATGGCATCAAAGAGCATAATTTGTAGTGGGGTCAGACGAAGAATTGGGAATGGGGAAACTACATCTATATGGACCCATCCATGGTTACTGGATGACCAGGACCCTATGATACAAACAGAGATGCCTATACAGTTACGAGAGGCCAGAGTAGTAGGGCTAATAGATCAACAAACTGGTACATGGGATAATGAAATTTTATCAGATTTATTTCAACCTACGGATGTCGAGAGAATTATGAGAGTACCTGTATCCCGGGATTATAATGATGCATGGTATTGGTACGGGGACCCGAGAGGATTATATTCTGTGAAAAGCGGGTACAGACGATTGGTGGGAGATTATGAAAATAATCAAGGCCCCTTTACTAATTGGTTAGCTTTATGGAGACTAAAAATTCCACCAAAGTGGAAAATGTTCCTCTGGAGAGCTATTTGTGATATTTTGCCTACAACTACGAACTTGCTTTTAAAGAGGGTGGAGGTGAACCCATATTGTGCTATGTGTGGGATATCACATGAGAATACAATGCATGCATTAGTCTTGTGTGATTTTGCAAGAAACATTTGGGATCAATCCAACCTTACAATCCCCAATATTGTCACGGATATTTTTCATGTTTGGTTTGGGGGACTTCTAAATATTTTAGATTCTGATGGAATGTTATATGCAGCATCAATTCTATACAATATTTGGAAAGCTCGAAATGGTGCAGTTTGGGAGGCGTTTTTACCACGCCCGGGGTCCCTACTCAGAGCCGCAGCGGCAGCCAAGACCGCATGGACTCAGTCCCGCCCAGCCGTGGCTGCCACTGCCACTGCTACGCTGCCGACAGAAAACCGCCACGCTGCCCAGGCGAGTCCCACCGCCGGTCGCGGTGCTGCCGACGCCGCCGGATCCTCTGTGCCGCCAGTGAAAAGATGCAGGGTCGATGCGGGATATCTACACGAGACAGGGAATGCAACTGTAGGGGCCGTTTTATTAGATGGAGATGGAGCCTATATCTCGGCACTAACCGCGCCGCTACCGGCCTGTACGTCACCACTTATGGCTGAGGCTTTGGCGTGTAAGGAAGTTTTATCATGGCTAAAGGATCGAGGTGAACAGAATATTGAGATCTACACGGATTGTTTGACACTACAACGCTACCTTACATCATCAACCACTGCGTTTCGCTCTTACGTTGGCTATGCCATTGATAGCTGCAGGCAAATTGCCGTTTATTTTCACTCATGTTCTTTTAATTATATTTCTAGATCGGACAATTATTTAGCTCATGCTTTAGCCACTACGGCTTATCAGCAACCTGATACTATGTACTGGGATACTCACCCACCAGACATTATTTCAGCATTTTTCTAATGAAGCACCGCAGAAAATTTTCAAAAAAAAAAAAAAATCAAAAATCAAAAGTGAAAATAAACTTTTAAGGGCATCTGAAGTTCTGATTATAGAAATCACAAAAGAACATTGGAAGTGAAAATAGAGATAAATCAAGTACATCTTAATCATATTATGAGTTAGGAGCAGAATCTTTGTTTCAAAATTCTAAGATCTGAATTGGATAGGAATTTTTCTGTGTCTTTGCTCAATTTAAATATGAGGATCATCATTATAAGCATTAGAGGTTGAATTAGAAAAATCTGATGTTTGTAATAACAATTTAGAATGCAATTTGAGAATACATTTCATCTATATTTGTATAAGAATTAGACTATATATGTAATGTAATGCAATTTATATTAACTTCCATGTAGATTTCAGCTTTAGTTTGATTCCCTCAAATATTGAGAGCAAGCTTTGTACCTAGCTAGAAGGATTTGTTCCTAACCTTGGAAAGATTCAAGTTTAATATTTAGTTTTGGTCCATGCTAAAAGGCCTCAAAATATTAAGGGCAAGATTTGCCCCTGGCCAGAAGGACTAAGATACCTCACTCAAGTTAGTTTATAATCTAGGAAAGAATTGAGTTAAATATTTAGTTTTGGTCCATATTACAATGCCTCAAGAATATTCAGCTTTGGTGAATGTTACAAGGGCTCAAGGTAGTACAGAAGGAAAGATTTAAGCATCATGAGAGTGTTTTTAGGTAGAGACTGGGTGTCTGTTCAAATGATGAATAACCCACAACACAACCTTGGGCACATTCATTTGACAGCTATTACAATTAGGGCAACAATTGGCACATTCATTTGACAGCTATTACAATTAAGGCAACCTTGGGTACATTCATTTGACAGCTATTACAATTAAGGCGATGTTTTGAGTCAAATTTGATAAACCCAATGCTTCTACTTATGATTTATAAAAGTATAAGTTGAACAGCTACAGCCGAACAGAAAAGCAACTCTAAATGATAAACCTATCTAAAACCTAGCTAAGATTGTCCATGGAGGCACTATTCAGCACCCCAATCTTTAAATGGGAAAGTTCCCAAATTCACCAAAAAGGTGCAGAGGGCTTCAAATTGGGAGAGTTAATACCCAAAATGATCCTGGACTATAGTGATTTTTCTCAATTTCGTCCTAAACGACTTTGGTGACCTAATGTAATCCCAGACTTTTGTATTTTTGCTCAATTTAGTCCCCTGTTTGTTATTCAATCAAATTGGTGTAAAATAAAGGAACAATTCAGTAATCTCAATATTGGTTTTTTTTACAAATTACTCCCAAACTTGCGAATCAAATTTTATATTCGCAAGTTTGGGAGTAATTCGTAAAAGAAAGAGGAATTTCGCACTTCGCATGTCGTACCAATATTGAAATTACTAAGTTGTTTCTCTATTTCACACCAAATGGGAGAGAGTAACAAACGGAGGACAAAAGTTTGGGACTACATTAGGTCACCAAAGTCGAAAACCATTATAGTTGAGGACCATTCTGGGTATTAACTCAAATTGGGACAACTTGTTAACAAAACCATAAATGCTACCGTGTTCTTCAAAAAAATCAAAAGAAGCAGAAAATCTAACAAGTGGAATCGAATGAAACTACCTAACTGATCAAGAAATAGGGAAATTTTGATTAGGAAGGAGACATCGAGCTCAAATTACAACGACGAACTGTGTTCTTTAACAGCAAACAACCATATTATAACTAATCTCAAATATAATAAGCACTAAATTGAATCTTCACATCTAGGGTTGCAACCAAAGTGCAAAAAAATCAAATAAAAGGAAAGGGATTCGGTATGGGTACCGTTTGGGCGTTGTGCCATTTAAGTCCACGATAAACGTTGACGGAGAAAGTGGCGCCGAGGTAAACGGTGGCGACGCCTAGCCCCGCCGTGAAAGCCCTGAATACCCAATCCCCTGCCTTGCTCGCCACTCCCATTCTCTATTACCTATATCTGTGTATATATACTGAGCTTCGATCTTGTTCAGCAAAGTGTAAAATCCCAAGTTTTGTTGATTAGGGTTTATGAAATGAAAATGATGCGCAGCTAAGACCAGAACCCTTAATTCAACCAAATCGGATGCATTTCCCAGATATCGAACCGGACTAAGTGGGGGAAAATGATACTTTTTACCCTAAGTTGTATATTTATAGCATTTTTTCTTTTGAATTATTCATTAAGTACATTAGTCACCTAAATTATTTTAAAAGTGACTATTTCCTCCCTCATATATTAATTATTAAATTGACATTTATACCTTTAAAGTAAACATTTTATTTATTTATTTTCTCCAACAAATTATTGCTTATACGTAGGGATGACCACGGTTCGGTTCGAACTGAACCGGACACTATAGCAATCGAATTGAAAGTTTCCGGTTATGATTCAGATCAGAACCCAATATTTGGATTTCGATTTATTAAATTTATGAATTTAAAAAAAAAAAACTGGATCCTAAACCGTAAACCGACGGTTCCGGATGCGGTTCACGATTTTGAACCGTCTTTATTTTAAACTTTTATTTTTTATTTTAAAATAGTTTAAATTTAACAATAAATGTATTTTATTATTATTTTTTTAGATCGAAACATGAACCGGCCGTTCCGGTTCGCAATTTTAATAAACTCTAAATATCGAGTTTCATTTCTAAATTGTAATTGAAATATTTCGGTTTGGTTGCTATAATGTCTGTTCGGTTTAAACCAAATCGTGGTCATAATTTGTTAGAGAAGAAAAATAAATGAAATATTTATTTTAAGGGTAATGTGTCCATTTAACATTTCAGGGGGAAAATAACCACTTGAATAATTCAGAAGTAAAAAGTGACATAAGTATATAACTTATGGGGAAAAAGTGTTATTTTCCCTTAAAATGGTTAAGATGATAACATTGAGATTATAGCGGTTAAATGGTTGGTATTTAATTTAAGAGTCAATTCGAGGGAATGATCCATTGACTACTGACATTTTATAATTTTTATTATCAATTTTTAATTGAACCCTAAATGGTACTTTGACTATTGACATTTATCAATTTTTATCCTCTATTTTCAATTTGATCAGATCTATTAACTATTGATTTTGTTCGAAATTTAGTTATCTAGCCTTCAAGGCTAGAAAATTGAAATTTCATATTTCAGGCTTCAAAGACATAGCAAAATGCCAGAAATTGCAAAAAACTATAATAAATCATTCAAGGTTCAAACAATGCCGCATACCTTCAAAGTTCAAATAATGGCGGTGACTAGAAACAGGGGAGGTGGTCGATGGGCTCGACGTTGTCACAAGGGAGGGGCAGCCACCGGATCTACAAGCCGTGGAGCTGTGGAGGGGAGAGGTTATGCTGACGTGCCGCTGTGGTCTATGGAGGCGTGGAGGTCCGTGTGGAGCGTTGATTAGAGATTTAGATTTTAAACATTTATATATTTAGTGTAATTTCTAAATATATAAATTTTGTATACTAATACTAAATAAATTTAATATTATGAAAAATTAAATTAAAATTAACCTCATTCAAGCCTATTTTACTTGCACTTCGATGTTCAATTATTTACAAAAATGCCACCGCATTTTTTAAAAAAATCAGTGTTTCAAAAGTTTCCTCTCTAGAATTCTAGGGTTTTGCATCCTCTCCTAGGGTTTGGCTAGGTCTTTGCACAATTCCGTCAGATTTCCACCAGTTTCTCGCTGGTTTCTTGCGTATTGTTCTCGCTGGTTTCTTGCGTATTGTTCGAATAGATTGGTTTTGGAGTGGGTCGGTGGCTTGTACGAAGATTCGGCGTGGCAGTTTGCTTCTGCGACGTGGAATAATGGCAGACGACGGGCATGTGCAGCAGATGGAGGCTTTGACGCAGCGCACAGCCGAGGTTGGCATCGAGGATGTGGAGGACGTCTGCTTTGCGCCGGTGGAAGAGGAGGGAATTACGGGTGGTCATGAGCCACCGGTTCAGACCTGGAGTGTCGTAGGCAGGTTTCTCACGGCACGTATGATTAAGTTGGAATACATGAGGCAAGTTTTAGCATCTGTCTGGCAACCGGTGATGGGAGTTACGGTAACGGAGATTTATAAGGGCTTGTTTTTGTTCGTTTTCTTTCATAAAACGGATGTTGATTATGTCCTGAATGGAGGTCCGTGGGCATTTGAGAATAGTACGCTGGTATGCCGTTTGGTGGAGGATGGAGTTTTACCGATTGATGTTGAATTGAATATTGTTGATATGTGGGTGCAGCTTCATGATATCCCTATGGGATATACATCTCTACCGATGCTTGAGCAGATGGGGAATTTTATTGGAACTTTTGTTAAACATGATGAAAGATTTGTGGGGGCGCCTTGGCTAGCATTCTATCTGATCCGTGTATCGATCCCGGTGGATAAACCTTTACGGAGACGTATGAAGTTGTTGAAACGGGACAAGTCTACTTGTTGGATAAATTTCAGGTATGAGCGGTTGCATTCATTCTGTTTCTTTTGTGGGCTCTTGGGACATACATACAGATTCTGTGTCAAAGCCCGGGTGTCTACGATGCCGGTGCACCTTTACCCGTATAATGCAGAATTGAGGGTAGGGGGAGGCCGCGGACCGAGGGAGGTGGGGGAGAGCTGGTTAGTTCCGGTGGGGGGACTACCACGGGTGGCCGAGGGGACGAGAGATGAGGGAGGCCGAAAGGATGGGGTGATGGGGGAGGGTGTGGCACGGCCGGTTGTGGCTGATGAGGCCGAGGAGGCGGTTGAGGTGGTTTCGAAAAGGAGAAGGGAAGGGGGGTATGAGGGAGAAAGGCGAGGGAATGGGCAAGACACTACCATGGCAGATGTGTCAAAAAACGTGTTTATGGCGGGTGCTGGTTCCCAGACCCGCCCAGCATCATGAGTACGTTGAGTTGGAACTGTCGTGGCTTGGGTAATCCACGAACAGTTCGAGAGATTGTGGACATGGTGTCCAGTAAGAAACCCGATTTTGTATTTCTAATGGAAACCATGGTTGCCCAGGATCATGCAGAGCGGCTCCGGGTCAAACTTGGTTTTGATGGTGTATTTAAAGTTGATAGTGTTGGAACGAAAGGCAGATTGGCATTACTATGGAGAACGAATGGTACGGCAAGTCTGTTAAGTTATTCTAAAAATCATGTGGATATTGAGGTAACGATGCCGGGGTTTACTAAGTGGAGAATGACTGGGTATTATGGTTATGCGCAAAGGGAGAGAAGGAATGACTCTTGGCAATTCATCAGATCCTTATCACATCGCTCTGAATTGCCATGGGTTATTATAGGGGATTTTAATGATCTCTTATATCAGTATGAGAAGCGAGGGGGAAATCCTCATCCAGAGGCACTGTTACGAGGTTTCGGGGAAACTATTGATGAATGTGGGCTGACTCAGTTACCCATGCTGGGATATCCGTATACCTGGGAAAGAGGTGAGGGGACTGTGGACTGGATTGAAGAAAGGTTGGATAAGGTACTGGTCACGCAGGAATGGCGAGATGTAGTGAGAGATGCAAGTGTCTTGAACATCTTAACCCGACGCTCAGATCATTCTGCTCTTTTCCTTGGGATTCTGAATCTTCGGGAAAGGACAGGTGGTGGGAGAAAAGGGTTCCGTTTTGAGATGGCCTGGCTCCATGATGAAGGTTGTAGAGGAGTGGTCGAGACGGCATGGACGGAGGGAAGAGATAGAGGCTTACAAGCCTGTATCGAGTTCTGCGGGAATAAGCTAGCACGATGGGGAGGTGATAAGTTCCATAGATTTGATGAGATATTGAAATGCCTACGTAAGGAGCAGTTGAGACTACGGGGATGCACAGACCAGTATTCATTAGTTGAATATCAGCGGTTGGAGGAACAACAGGCCCAGTTAGAGGCACAGGAGGATGCTTTTTGGAGACAGAGGGCGAAACAACACTGGCTGAAGGGGGCAGATGCGAATACAAAGTTCTATCACAGGTATGCCTCTCACCGTAAAAAGAAAAACACAATTTCTAAAATTATGAATGATGATGGGGATTGGGTGGAAGGAGATGCCATGAGAACAATTATTTTTGATTATTATCGGAATATTTTCTCGTCAAATTCGTCTCAGATAGATGAAAGTTTTTATGCCAATGTCTTGCCCCGGGTGACACATGCACAGAACGAGGCATTATTGCGCCCCTTTGAAAAAGATGAGGTGAGAACGGCCCTGTTTGCTATGTTTCCAGATAAGGCGCCTGGTCCGGATGGAATGAATCCGGGCTTTTATCAGCAGTTCTGGGAGGTGGGGGGGGGGGGGGGGGGGGGGGGGTGGGGGGTGATGTGTCGGAGTTTATTGTGAATTGTTTAAATACACGGACTTTCCCAGGCAAGTTGAATGATACAGATGTGGTTCTAATACCAAAGAAGAAAAATCCAGAACGAGTCTCGGACTACAGGCCTATAGCACTAAGCAATGTTATTTATATGGTCATGGCAAAGATGATTTCAGCCAGGATGAAGCCACTCATGGACGATATTATTTCTGATACACAAAGTGCATTCATACCTGACAGATTAATTACGGATAATATTTTGATTGCTGCAGAGGTTGGACACTTTTTGAACAGGAAACAATGTGGAAGAACGGGGTGGGGTGCTTTAAAGCTAGATATGGCAAAAGCATATGACCGAATGGAATGGCCCTTCCTGCGAAGTATGTTGGTAGCTTTGGGTTTTAATAATATGTGGGTGGAGCTTGTTATGTTATGTGTGACTACTGTGTCCTACAGTATTAAACTGAATGGAACCCGAGGACCGCCGATTGTCCCGTCTCGCGGACTCAGGCAAGGAGACCCATTATCACCATACCTATTTATTATCTGTGCGGAGGGACTATCATTACTATTACAGCAGGCACAGGTACAGGGAACGATTCACGGGTGCAGAGTAGCAAGGGGGGCACCCTCTATTTCGCACTTATTTTTTGCTGATGATAGTCTTTTATTCTTTAAAGCAAATGCGCAGGAAGCAAGTGCAGTTAAGCAGTGTTTGACACGGTATGAAAATTTATCTGGCCAAGTGGTAAATTACCATAAGTCCAGCATATGCTACAGTAAGAACACACGGGACGATGATAGAGAGGAAGTGGCGGGGATACTTGGGG